TTTTTCAAATCCAATCTCACAGGGTTTTTATATTCCGTTTCCTACAAATTGATCATACATTATCACTAATTTTTCAGTTATATTTTTGTCAACCCTATGRAATTTTGATATTTTACTCAGTATGACATACGATTAAAAGGATGCTAATTTTAATCCTCTATTTTTTATACCTGCATATATTAATATACGTGCCTTACGTAATATTCTGTACACACTAGGGGCGCAACCAGGGAGGGGGGGGTCCCGGGTCTGGACCTACACCGGTACTACACACTACACACTTCGTGAAATTCGCACTATATACGTATACTATAACACATACAGACATACAGTCGTATTTTAGGACATATGCCCTGTAGCACACACATTAATAATACATTATGCACCATTGAATATTGTTTTTAAAACCACTCGTTTAGTATCTATAACATATTATCTGAATTGGTTTTCTATTGCCACAAGAAAAATAGTTGTATTCATTTTATCCAGTATACTTGTAGGTTGGTATACAAAGAAGTGTGAGTTAGAAATATATTGTATTAAATAAACGAACCGAGTGATTTTTAAATATCTAGACACATATATGCATACCTACATTCGAAATGACTAACAAGAATTAATAATCCAATTACGAAATCGAAAATCGTGTCAACACAATCAACATAACATAATATTTCTGTTTTTGAAGGCTGTTATGTTGTTTGGTGGCTGGAGCCGAAACATGGCTGACTTCGTTACAATGAATGACTTGATGTCGTTGAAGGACCGACTCATTTCMTGGGGATTCGCCGAGAACAACATTCGGACGTTTTTCGCCAACGGTATAAACATGAGCATGGACGACGGTGAGTGCCTATTTTATCGTATTATTCAAACGTTTTCGATCGTTCTTTGACTTCTTGTGATATTATCAATACATTATTACTATACAATATAATAATTTAAATATTGATAATGATGTCTATCGTTTTCTATTCTTCGTACATGTTATATATAATTGCTTGAGTATTGGCTTGCATATAAAACACTCTCGTTGTTCTACCTATCATTATAATTAATTATAATAATATTATTAAAAATCTTATAATTTTTATTCAAATTATTAAATAATATGATTGATTGTCCGRAATTACTGAAAAATATAAATTTWAAAATAAATTCAATAAACCGCCGATCTGTAAATTTATTCTACATAAAACATTCAACTACATACTATATGCAAAACTCTCCATCCAATATTTTAATTTTCACAGRCAACTCTATATTGATTTTTTTGTAATTCTTTAAATACTTTTAAGGCGAATGTTTTAAGAAATACATAACAAATTAGGTACCAGAAACAATATTAACATCTCGTTTTTATTTCATTGAATTTGATATTGTATAAATTTAAATATTTTAATGTATGATTGATACCTATTTGCTCTTTAAATTTTTAAGTTATTTTTATTATTATTATTATTATTGTTATATATATAGTTTATTCACTGATAATGTACGTGTATACTGCAATATATTATATACATATTATATGGAAGAAAACAAAACTATAATTGGAATTTATTTCCGTAATAAAGAAATTATTATATGCTTTCAGACGGTATCATCAGCTCAACGACCACCAACAACATCGAACCAGCTGACAAGTTAAACATACGTAGATATATCAAAGGCGTCTGTAGCGCTGCGCGGTGTGCCGACACGTTCTTCTTATACCTGTCCAGCCCGGCCAGGAGAGACGGCAATGCAATACTCTGGGACGCTAACGGCAACGGAATCGTAAGTCACTGGCTTACAAATAATACGTAAATTTTTAAATAAAATATAATATAAAAATATAAAAATATACATCACTCGCCGTTGGTAACCATATAAACCGCATTTTAAAGGGTTCGGTGTTAATTTTCCAAAATTCTATAAAATTTGAAGTTATATTTTTTTACATTTTAGTTGACACCTTAAATATAATACTTTTCCACTCATAAACTGCCTAATATCTATTTAAGAAAGGGGAGGATTATAGGTACTATGTAATTTATTAAAAAAATAACTTCTCAGTAAAATCTCTTAAGCCTTATAAAATTATAGGAGTTTATTAAACGAGTTTTTATATGAAATGAGAAAACTTTTTGCAGCACATGTTTTTGAGCTCTGATCTCAAATAATAGAATGAAATAATTTGTAAAAAAAAATTGTTCTTAATACTTATTTAATTTACATATTTTATAATGGTAGCGTGAATAATTTTAAGT